AAAACCTCCTTAAAACCTAACTATACTTTATCTTTGAATATAAAACATAAAGATGGCATGAGTCTTTATCAGGCTAGTAGACAAATATTTTCGCTCATGCTTTTAAAAAAAATACTTGAATTTAAAAGACCATCGAAATTGATGTGATAAGTACATGCTACTTAATAGCCATACCGTGAATTAAAAAGCCAACATCCTGCAGAGTCCGAAATATCCTCGGATTATGCTGCAAAATAATCAGTATAAGAACCCCACCTATGTGATCCTTCCTAATCTGAAACGCATTAAAGAATTTCGACTAACATTTATTGAGATCAGTCACTCACTGTAAGGAGGGTTCGTCAGGTGACCGATTTTGTCTCTGATATTGCGATCGTGGGGCGTTCCTCCCCTACAGATATTAATCTGGGGATTGCAACCAGCAGAGCATCGAGTTCTTTGACGTCTAACCAGCAGGATATGCATTCGAAGCTCAACTATTGCAATTCTGGGATAAGTTACGTCTGACTGACTACGTAAATTTTCCTGGATATGACGGACAGTAAAATTTACCAAATACAGATTTTATCAAACCCTGAACTCGTTACGGACACTATTTAAGAAAAAAACAGTCTCTGCAGATTAATCACGTATCCATTTAATAACTGATAGGTATACACATTGCAGAGGTCTTCAGAATGTTGAGTGACATAATTTAGAGCCGAATCCTTTGTAGTTTGCTCGCATGTGGACACATTTATCGGTGAAAATAGCACTAAACTCATGGTTGGCACCGATGTTAGAATAATGGTGCCCGCCTCAGGCGCCCCAGTCATTGTTGCCCAGCTAGCCCAAACTCTAGCCGTGGATAATGTGAAATTCTAAACCGAATTCGTTGGTCAATCTGTTGTTAGCACATCGCTCTTCTTTTCACCAAGAGGCCAGTCGTCCGGCCGGTTTCGCTTTTTATTACCAAGAGTAGGTTTTCGCGAGCAAGGTTTCCCCTAACCTACCCGCAGGAATCCGTCAATTAGTTCTGATATGTGTGTGGCACAAGGCAGATGTAGAAAACCCTGAGAACAGGTGTTCCAAAATCCACATATTGTAATAATTCCAAAGCTGAAAAAGGCGCTCCTGTTCTAGCAGTCTTGTGCACTCGTCCAATCATGAGAACGCACTGATGTTTCACTGTATTGAAAAGTAAAAGCGCGATACAAAATATACTTATTTGTGAAACTTATTGTCTCAAATTTGCCGTATGAACATTTGCTACCCAAATGCGCCTTGGCCGGACTGTGGTGCGCGCAGACTCATCTATCCATTTCTATCCCTAGAGTCTACCAGCTACACTCGTCTGCTGTGATTCCAAACCGGAAATACTACACCGATGGAAAGTCCAGACGACGTACTCACTAATGCCTTTTACATAATTCAAATTGGTTTTGGGGTTTTCAAGTGATTTGACTAATAATTACTATGACAGCGGGTGTGGGATCGGCAGTTAAACATACAGATTAAATATTTATTGTTCAGAAGCTGGGGTTTTGATCTAATAAAATCAATCATGTATTGATATATATCCTGTTTTTCTTTATTCTTTGCGTATCTTTCCAACCGACCCGCAAACAGCAATCGAATAGTGGGAAAGGGTGAACGATCAGTCTTTAAAGTGATTCATTAAACAACCTGAGCATTTATTGTGTTACGTTATTGGAAAAATTCACGTACTGATTATGTTCTCAGTATATACATCATAGTCCAAGAGGCTACTAAAGACGCCGCTGAGAGTCAAAGACTCAGTCCTCGTTTTTGAGTGGTCGTCATTCACTTCTGGCCTACTCACGGAACTGGAGACTGGAAACTCAAAAGAAGATATTTTTTTAAGCATTGTGTTACAAACCAACGCGTCCACTACCGTCCTAGATCATGACATGCGCGATTTCCAGGCTTCAAGCCCATAGAGGAGTGATGTTTGCAAGTCATATCTGCAGTCATTACCGCAAACATCACAGGCTAGGCCCTGTGGTAGCATAGTTTATAACTCTGTCGAGATGGCCTTGTAAAAACCGTCTTTCAAAAGCAAACAGATATGATCAGGTCGCGGATTTAGAGTGCGCTCGGAGGACGTGTGACATAAATGAATACAAAACACTGTCTGGCGGTCTGTTCGTAGAGCGACATGTACCTGGCGAGCTGTTTAAACTCGGTATCAAGCAAACAGAGCATCAGCCTCCGAATGGGCAACAAGGCAATACAGTCTGTATACAGAACTGTTATTGGGAATCACATGGTCAGCCCGATATCATTAAACCCTAGCACGTCACAGTTATGCAGAGGATTAGCTTTAGAGGACGAGAACAGAAAGATGAAGGTGAGTCTACAACTAAAAAAACGGTCAGACACATCAGCAAAGTGCCCTATCCAAGACTGGAGGATGGCACAAAGCGAGGGCAAAGAGTTGTGCACGTCTGAAAGAATTGGGAAACGAAACAGTCAGAAAAATGATCAGGCTTGTTTGTTGCTTCGGGATGTTTGGCAGAGAATTAAGTTTCCATTGCGAATGTATGGCAAAGGAAAGCAGGGAAGAGGGGAGGTGGAGGATCTGCGGCTATGAGACCACTAGGTACACCACGGATTTCCAGCTTTGAGATGACTCACGCTCCCGGCCACTTAGCGAGTGACGCCTTGGATTTGAAGTGCCTTTGCCCCCAATGTGCAACACGAAAAATGTCATCGCACACTTTTTCCGGTAAACTGTGCACTCGACCACATTAGAGGCAAACTATAGTTTATGCCAAATGTTCACTTCCCAGTAAAATTCTGAGGCAGTTGGTTGGGATAAAACTGGGGAAGATGTCTACATAAATTGACACGAGCGTTGTGGAATGTCAGTGGAATGCTCGGTGGCATCAATAAAACTTTGGGGAAGCAACTAATTTAAAAGACGGTCAGTGGCGCCGAGTACCATTCCAGCAGGGGGGGGGCAAGGATATGCGGTATGTTCTGTAGACTTCATCCTCGTTGGCGCATTGAGAGTTATACGATTTACATTAAAACTGTTCGAGTATATGATTCGAAGCCGATTGTGACCAGTCGGGCAAGTCAGGAAAGGTTTCGACAAGTTCAAATTGGAAACGTGTTCTACGTTCCGTCATACTGGTAAATCAGACACCGCTTTTAGAGAAGAAATAACAAAGGAGGGTTCTTGAAGAAGGAGACACGATCACCGGGACAAGAGATTTATTAGCCTGACGTTTCGGATTCCTACTATAATCCATCATTAGAGACAAAAAAGCAGAAACGCGTGGTTGTTGCACAAGGGGCTGCGGTATTTATAGGATGCAGTCGCCATGCCACCGCATACCTATGAACATTCACGGCTCCCCCCTTCATCCGGGATCATCGCACTTGGTGTGATCATTGCTTGATGGCCGACATTCGAGTCGATAATTGCTGCAATTTCATCACGTGTGTTGGATGTTGGCGTAATGATTGCTCGACCATCAGACGCACTGACCCCGGTGTTGGGAAAAGTGTTCACCTCTGCCCTCCCCGCAGGGCTTGTTACTCCGCCTAGGCGAAGTTTTAGCTCGGAGTATGGAGTCGGAAGATAGTTGCCCTTGTTGATGGACTGGGGACCAGTAAACCATGATTCCAGTGGCTCCCGGCTCACGCGGTTGTCACCTCTTGCGAGAATTTCGGCCTCATCGAATTTGAATGTTTGGCCGGATCTCGTCGAATGAGCCGCAACTTGAGAGCTGGCGTCATTTCTGCGCACCGCTGCCGCGTGTTCGGCCATTCTTGTTCGGAGTTTTCTTCCGGTTTCTCCGACGTCGTTTCTTTGTCCGCAACCGCATCAAATCCGATAAACGACTCCAGACGTTTCTAGCCGTCGCAGTGGGTCCTTCGGTTTCATGATCAGACGCCTGATGGTTGCCTCCGGCCTGTGTGTCACTCCAACCCGAAGTGGTGTGAGAAGGCGACCGACAGCTTCCGAAACGTTCTTGACATACGGAAGTGCCCGCCAAGATTTGGTGTCCGTGCGGTTAGGACTTTCGTCCCTTTTGCGTATGCACCGGTTGACGAAGTTGCGCGGGTAGCCATTGGCTTTGGATACCCGTCGGAGGTATTGTAGTTCGACAATTTTGTCTTCCAGCTCACTTCAGTGCGTTACTGTTGAAGTTCAGTACTTTCATCGTATTTGTCGCTTTCCAGAACACTTTGGTTTTTAGTTCACTGCAATATTTGCGGCATACGAGGACATCCAGGAAGGCCAGCTGGTTGTCCTCTTCCTCCTACATCGTAAATTTAATGTCCGGGATGACGGCGTTGAGATGTTCTTGGAATGTCAACACCTGATCCCGTTCGATGACGACGAAGGTATCATCCACATACCGGGCCCAGAATTTCGGTCTGTGGTGTTGGAAGACCAGCGACTTTAACCGTTGCAGTACCGCCTCGGCGATGAATCCCAAAATCGGCGAACCCATTAGTGTGCCCTTCACCTGTTCTTAGATTGTCCCGTTGAACGTGAAGTACGTCCTGAGACAGAGCTTCAGGAGCTGAAGGATTTGGGCGTGTCCAAGACGGTTCTCCGTTTCATCATATTTTCTTTGTAGTAGCAGCTCAATTGTCTCGATCACCAGGTCCTGGGGAATAGAAGTAAAAAGGGATGTAACGTCAAAAGGTACCATGACCTCATTTGGATGGAGACTTACCCCTTTGAGTTTCTCGAGGAATTGTGCTGACAAGGAGACCGTGGTGTCCGACTCAGCGGTCAGGAACTTGAGACGCCGGAACAGCCACTTAGCCAGTCTATACGTTGGAGTTCCTTTGAGCGAAACGATTGGTCGGAGGGGAGCGCCGTCTTTGTGCACCTTAGGGAGGCCATAGAATGGGGCCAAAGACGTATCTTGGGGTCTTGCCTTGCGTCTGTCTGTCGGTGTTATTGCACCTGAGTTCTCCAAGGTCAACAACGTAGCATTAATTTCGCGTGTCAGCGCCTTTAAAGGGTTCGTTCCTCATGGGACATAGAACTGTCGGTCCTCCAGTAAACCTTTGGCTTTTTGAAGGTAGTCTGTCCTGTCCATTACAACTGTGGCGCGTCCTTTGTCCCCTGGCACGATGACCAGGTCTTTGTCGGCCTTGAGTTCTCTAAGCGCATTACGTTCGACCTTGGAAAGCACTTCCCGCGGCCTGTGGGCCATCAGGAGAGACGACACTTGGTGTCGGATGATACTCCTAGTCTCCTTCGTTGCCTCCGTCTGACAAAGGATTGATTCCACTGCTGCGATAATGTTAACGGGTTTGACATCAGCCGTGTTAAATGAAGCTTCGTGCCGTAGAACCTGCATCTGATCCTTCGTCAGCTCCTTTGATGACAGGTTGTGCACCCGTTTGTCGTTTCTGGGCGACGTTGGATTGGGCAGCTTTCGAAATTTGTTCTCCAGTGCTGCGTCGCGTATCATGCTCTGTTCGCGGGCTTGTTCAGCTATCCTCCGCAGGAGCAGATTTGTACCGATTTCACCCATGAACTAACAGCATCTGGCCTTTTCTTGGTCAATCCTTTGACGGTACTTACGTAGTCTCGCGTGGGAATCTTGGAGGAGCACTCGGATCATACTTCTGCCGTGCTAAAATACTGCTCGTCTCGCCAAATCCATGTTAACCGGTGGCTAGTATGAAACACATTTCCGTACCGCATTATTGTCGTGACACCTGTGCAGAAACCGGGTCTGCCAAGGAGGGTTCTGCACATACTGTGCGTCCGAAACCGCCAGCAAGTGAAACGGTCCAGGCAGATGAGGAGGCAGAGGCGTCAAAAGAGGAGATGACTCATCAGATGCAATCGGCTTAACCAAGTATCAGGAGTGGGATTTCACTGTGCCAGTAAAACTCTCCGCATTGGCAACCAGGATAGATTTGTTCCCCAGCAGTCACGCCTTTACGCATTCGGGGGTCAAACAAATCGGCCCATCAGTAGCATGTTTGTAGTTCAAATTCTATATTTATAGACACTGTGGAGGGCAGGAAAGACTGTTCAGCAGATGGCTGAAGGAAGCAAGGGGCGGTGGCAGGAGGCATAATCACTGAATGCTGTGGTGTCATGGCTAGTAGTAAGCGGAAGGACCTGGTGTTGAAGACCCTTGGCATAATCTTTCGTGAGCGATTTGGCTTGGAGCAGTTTAGTAGCTGTTGTAGTAAGGTGAAGACCTTGAGAAATATGAAGATAGAATATGTGCAATTAGGACAAACCGTCAGCCATGCCATGTCCTCATCCTTTAACGTAAACGAAGACAGATTAGGCCGAAATAGGGATCAGTTCGAAGATCTGCGAGAACGGAGATGGAAGACGAAGGAATATCTTCGAGTAGTATGGTTGAGGCGAATTGTAGTAGTGGTTTTACACTTAGCATCACGTTCACCAGGCCAACTCCTAAGTATCAAGATGAGTCAGAAGGCAGGAGCCCGAGTTGTCGTTTTAGGCAAGACAAGAATGGCCGTGAGGACATCTTAGGAGGAAGTAGATGGGGTCATTATTACGTCAGAGCCGAGAGTGTCCGACGAGGCCTATTCGCGCGCGGCAAGCCTGATTACAGCCTAATCCTGATGGAGAGTGGGCTTTGGGGTTGGTAGTTTACGGCGCGTGAGACCTGCGAGTTGGTGAACGAATCGACTGCCAATGCCGGCGTCTCTGACTTGAAGGGGCACAGTCTTACTGCAGTAGAAAGTGGACGGAAAATACAGTCTCTAATGGATGCGCAAAGTCACCGACGAAGACAGAAGGAAATTGCGGTCGGATTGAAGAAAAAGACTAGGCTATGCGTTTCGCAGTCCAACGATTACGCAGCGGCTGTTTTACGTGACATATGCATCCGCAGTTCCTAAAGTTTTCTTTGGAGACGAACGCTGACATATCCCAGGACGTTACAAAACGGAATACGCGATTAGCCACATACCTCTTGGATTATAACGGGATGGTATTGCAAGTATGCGCACATAGATTTGAAGCCGCTGACTCGTGGACGTTAGTTGGCTGACGTTTCGGTCTCTCGTTCGTACACATCATCAGAGGCAGTCTAAGTATAAAACCCATAAAAGGACGTCGTGGCCGGAATGACCGGAGGATTTATTTATGCACAGTGACTGTAGAACTATCCTGTCTGTCTTCTATTTCACCCAGAACCTAGTGTCATACTGTTTGGAGACATCGATCACTCAGTATTGTTTACGTGGACTGTCGACCGGCATACTGTGCAAACATTTGTTAAATTGATAAACTGGTCCTTCTCTGTGCACCCAGCATTGCGGTCCTGCCTTCCATCGATGATTAACAATTTGAGTTGTTTTTTGTCAGGCCGTCTTCTGAAATAAAATGCTTCATATTTTAGTGTAAGCCCAAGTGCATATTATGATATACAGCGACCGATTAACTGTGGAAGTCATAATATTAGTGTTGAAGGCCACGTCAGCAAGATCTTATTTCGTAGCCGTACCTGTTAGGGGTTATGGGCTTGGCTTAGAGTTTAGGCTTAGGTGTTAGGGTTAGGGGTTAAAGGGTGGGGGGGGGTTAGGTTTATGCACCCTATTTTCACTGGTCCCGTGTGAGAGATGGCTGGGATTGTGTACTGCATGTACGGCTACTAAATAAGCTCCGACCGCCACGTCTGTAGACTGCATATGCAATGAACGACTAACCAGCAAATCCTTTAAATTAGTCGGATGACCATCTCAAGCATTTTTGGGATTTTTGTCATTCTGGAAAGTTAGCTCAAGGGGTATTAACTGCCCTATGTTTTCATAAAGACATCATATAGGCCCCTTAACACTGCGCAATTGATATAAACTATGATATACAAAGCAACATGGACGTTCTTAAGCCTGCTGATCGGATGATGCTTGCATGAGCATTTTGCGACATTAAAGATGTCGTAATTTGAATACTTTAATCTGTGAACTCGACAATTTGTTAGGCATCAGATTGATAAAAATGTTGGTAATTACAGAATTCATGCGCAAGGAAGTATTTTGTGCATGTCTCTACAAAAATATGTCACTTTCTAGCGAGGTTAATTTATACTGGAGACCAAACTTGCGACTCAAAACAGCTGGAAGAACTGACGGAGAGGATCACCATTACCTGCTTGATGGAAGGTGCCTTTCAAATGTGACCCAACAAAAAGATCTTGGGATCAACATTTTGTCGACTCTTAAGCCTTCCACTCAGCGCGTTAGGGTGGCCAAAACGGAAACTAGTGTTCTCTTTGCCATTAAACGAACTTTCATAGACGTAGATAAAGAATTATTTGGAAAAGTATATGGAGCATTCATCCGTTCGCACCTGGAATATGAAATCCAAGCGTGGCGCCTCTGGCTAAAAAAGACTATAAGTTACTAGAAAGAGTTCAGAGGAGTGCGACAAATGTTGTGAAAGGCCTCAGGACTTTACCTTACAACTGCCGACCTAGTGAAATTAAACTCTTTCCTCTTGAGTACAGGCAGGTTCGGGGTTTATCTCATACAGGCCTATCGGATATTGAGGAACCGGTACTGTGCCTTACACCTGGACGATTTCTTCACCCTGGCCACAACAACAAACCTGCGTGGGAACTCCCTAAAACTTAGAGGATCCCGATGCCGCCTGGACGTTCGAAGAATCTGTTTTTCACAGCGAGCCGTCGGTGTCTGGAACGGGCTTCCTGAGGACGTAATAATGGCGGATACCACGGAGACGTTCAAGCAAAGACTAGATGTATATTTGCTTGTGCAATACCGCTTGCCTGTACAGAACAGCTCTGTGGTGCCAAACCAACGCCTTGCATACACCTACCGCTAATGAGGATGACTGTCATTGCATTTTACCGATATCATCCACAACTGAATGTGTCCGAGTTTCGGTTCTGCATTTCCAATGGAAAATATTCTGTTAAGTGTATATATTACTGACAACATTTTAGTACTGTGTTTGTTTAAAGTTACATATTGCATGCACCGTTTACAATAGGGTTTTCAAAGACATTGCCTATTACCCTTAAAATATACTGACCTATATACTGACCTTTATACAGGAGCGGATATAATGACATTACTGTGATGGCTTTGGATTGTCATGCTAGATAAACATCCTTTCAAACTGACCTATGTACTTCTTCCTAACCGAGATGATATTTCACATTTTCAGATTACGGTCCATGAGGTAATTGAGCCCATGCATTTTATATAAAATTTTCCATTGATTTTCTGTGCCCTGACAAATTCAAATATGTATGGTAGATAATATGCCCGAATGCCTTACGGTTTGTATATACTTTCCGGAAGGTCGTGCGTTTTTCTTGTATTTTTTAGAGCAAAGTAGTTTTCTATGCAAAAGCGTTTTTGTGATGCATAAATAACTGAATGGCATTGCCGACAAAGACAAGGGGGGCTGGAATGGTCATCTCTAGCTTATAAGCCGTCGTCAGCCGGTCGTACCCAACCCCGAAGAGTGTAGCTCTCGAGGCTCGAACTCGCGACCTGTTAGTTAGAAGTCAAACGCCTCTAACCACTGAGCCACGGGCTTGTTGTCCCGTCGGTTTCGATCGGAAATATATAATGGTGGAGGAGCGCTCACCGATCGTCCCTACGGAACTCACTCGTTCCGTTGTGCGGCTGCTGTTGGGCTCGAGATGCAGTCCATAAGGCACTATGGAGCGAGTGAGTTCTGAAAGAACGATCGGTGATTGCTCCTCTACCAGTAAACATCGTTCTACGAGTTTTAGTTCTCTTCACACAAACGGATGGGCGTTTTCGCTTGCAGAACAACCTAATGTGCAATTGTGCAAAAAACTGGAACTTAAAGCCCGATGTAGCCTCTTTTATTGCGATTTTCGGCTATCTGCTTGGGACGCTTAACGGCAAACTGTACACGATTTTTTGTTAGTCAGCCGTCCCTGACCAGATACAAGTTAAGAATTAACATTGTCTCTAAACGCGGTTGAAATTTTCATCTATTCAAAAAATCTGCTATTTAATACCCGGATAAGTCGTGTACAACACCTGCAGACGGGGCGCCTTGTTTCTTTAGCCACCGTCGACTACTCACGTCTCCGGTCTTCTTGACCATGTCTAAACACTGGGTCGGGGTGGTGAAGGGGATATAACGGGGGGGGGGGCGGGGCGGGGAAACTGCAGCGCAAGTCTACTACTACCACTATAAAACAATTCGCCGGCATCTACTTAATTCTCTTCTTTCCTACCTGAACCCATTGTCAAGACGGAGTCAAAAAGACCGAAGAGGGGAGAGGGCGCAGGCGGTTATATTCAATTAAGTCCTCCTCGTTCGAATTTCCAGTCACCAGCCCAGTGGTTGGGCTTGAAGTGAATGACGACAGATCGAAAATAGGGACGGAACAGTTGACTTTTCACGGCGTTATTTGGCAACCTTTTGGATTACGGCATATATGATACTAAAATAATCATCAAGCGTATTTGCCTGATAGCTAACGCGATAAATGTCCAGGTCGTTCAATGAATCTACTTTCAAGACTGATTG